CTGATCAATTAATTTTGATTGATTTACTTCGCTATCTTTCTTTTTTAACTACATTTAATATTTTATTTTTCACATAAACACACACACACACACACACACCCAAATACACATAGAATTAGACAAATAAATTTAGTTAAACCGCTCAGAAGAGATTTTATTAACATTTTTTCATCATCTTTTTTCAAGAATTCCTCACCTTAACACGTGACTAAGGTGTAAACTAACCTTAAAAAAATGCAAACAATTTCAATTGCATTCTTAGAGGGGGAAAAAAAAAAACATTTATCTCTTAATCTTAGTACAGCGTAATTAATCATCGTAAAGTACAAGCTTTAGAATTGTGTGTGTGTGTGTGTGTGTGTGTGTGTGTGTGTGTGTGAGAGAGAGAGAGAGAGAGAGAGAGAGAGAGAGAGAGATAATTTATGTGAAAAGATCGTTTGCATTGTTATTATCAGAGAAAAGTGTGTACACTTATATTATTTATTCTCTTTGCAATAATAGCATTAATAAGAAATGACAAAGCTATTGAATGGATATTCCAATCTTTTAAGCGGAAAGTTTTCATACGAATAATTACTTGTAGATTACTTGTTTTGTGAACTCATGTATAAAAAAGAAGAAGAATAAAATATAATCATTTCAGATAATTTGTTTGGTAAGAAAAACACATTTCACTATCAAAGCTTGTCTTCCAACAAAGGAGTATTCAATCAAATCCGTTTTTACTGTACTTCTTCTTCTTCTTCTACTACTAAACAACTTCTCTTAATAGAATGTATTAAATGAAAAGGTGGTTTTGACTTCAGGCTAACATCTTTACACCCTACATCTCAGAGTGTGTACCGAATTGGTGCGGACCTATGTATGTGTCTACGCATATATGTACCAACCAGAGAGATGTAAGAAAATAGAAAACATATACAAAGACGTAGGTAGTGGTCAATTTTTTGTTTGCTTTTAGTCTAAGAATTTATTGCATTAAACTAAATAAATTTTGATAACAGTAATTGAATACCGATAGATTCAGAATCGTTTTTTTTTTTTTTTTTGATTCAAGTTAAGATTCCCTGTCTGTCTGCCTATATTGTTGGGTTCAGTCGGAAAATAATTATTTGTTAAATATTTTAACGAGATCGGATAGATTGACGGACATTGCCCCATATTGGAATCGTTTTGAAGACCAATCGCATCTGACATTCTCTATATAATGCCTTATTATACGATATTTGTCGAGAAAAAAAATTGCCAAGTAATACTAGAAAGGTAGTTCTTTAAATACATTCCCATGTAAGAATCCTTACCAAAAATTTTTTGCTTGGCAAAACTATATAAATTTTTACATTTTACAGGCAATATTTGCCACGGAACTTGCCCGCTCTCAATTCGTTTCATGTAGATCCCTCCTTTCGAAACGGTTTTCATTAAAAAATTTAGCAGAAATCTCTGATTTTTAGCACTTGAAAATGAATTGTACCAAACCTAGGAGGACTAACCTTTGAAGGGAAACCTATACAAGCGCGCTTATTAAAAAAATAAAACTTTTATAGCGCAAAACGATTCCTTCTTCTTTTTTAATTTTCTAATGAAAATCGGTCTTTAAGAGTTGTTGGACGTAAAATTTAGGTGGAGCAAATTTGAAGGGCGCAGTTTGACTTATTGAATCCCATATCAGATAGGTGATCCCATGAGAATTAAGCTTCTGCATGGAAATAAGATATGATTTTTGTTATTTTATTAAGGAAATTAATCCAACACTGGTTTCTAATGAACAGCTATGACCAACTTGAATGCTTTTACTGGAGGAAATATTGAAGTCTAAGTTTCGTAATAGCTCTTAACATTTCATCTATGCAAGATATGCGAAGCATCTAAAGACGCATCCAACATATGGCGATAAGGTGTGAACATATATAATCCCTGCAGGGGCAGTAGGTAGGCCAAGAAAGCTACGTAATACCTTGGAATTATCTTACAAGTATATAAATGATTAGTGGACGACAGCAGTTGCCCCGGACACTGCGAAGCCTAATATTCATAGTAACTATTTCCTGCCCTTTTAAAATAGCGTTGATTAGTTCAATTAGGTTTGCGGTAATAAATTGTAATCTAAGCTAAGCCATTGGGAGCAATATTGCAAATTTTTTTTTTTTTCATTTATTTCAAGCAATGTCGTTTTACTTTTGTCCGCTTCCGCTGGGTGGCATCATGGTACATGTCTATGCCATTTAAAGTACAAATGTCAAAATCGACAATCGGCATTTTGTTTGTGTAGACTTCAAATTATTATAAATGAATCAATCACACATTATCTTTATTAATGAATTTAAATTAAAATGAAATCGATTTTTCCTTTCTCATTCATGTCATTCTGAAATTGGCTACGTTGCGTGAACCTTACTTTGTAACGAACGAATATTCAAACAAATCAATCTTTATTTATTTATTTAGTTTTATTTTTTTATTTTTTTTTTGTTTTATTTTGCTCCTTTTATCATTTACTTTCCATGAACAGACTATAGTACATATAATATGCAGGCATCCATCGTATGGCATGGTCTTTGAAAAAGCCATTTCCGATACGAGACTGTACAAAATTATCGATTATGGCAACAAGTGTTTGATATAAGGCAATTTCAAAAAATCGAAATCATATGTGCCGCTGGGTGTTTTTCAATTGCCTTCGTGTTGGAGAAATCACTACTGAAGAGGAGCGTCAACAAAAACTGCAGGCAATACAGATTGGCTGTAATTTTTGATCAAAATTAATTTTTGAATATGCTCCTTGTTGCATTCAGCTATCATCAACTTTGACACGTAAAGACTTGGTTTCGTTATAGCTATAGGTGGATACTGCCTTGACTTGTATTATATCTAAATTTAAATAAATAAAGGAAAAAAGTTTTGATATAGCGCGATACGAGGCATGTTATATGAGGGACACCTGTACTTAGATTATGGAATAAATGGAATAAGAAAAGTTATTATTATAATTATCATTATAAATTTAGCCACAGAATAAATTCTAAGACTAAAGTATTAAAGCACTAGCATCTGAGGCTTTCGGCTTTATTAAAAACTGTAGCGCATTTGAGATTTGAACCCACTACCATTCAGTTGCTGGTTGAGACTTTAGTCTACTCGGTCGCTCAGGCGGATAAAAAAAAAAAAAAAAGTTAAGCATATGAGAGATTTCAGAAAGGTAAACAAATTCTTTCAAATTCACTGGCGTATGTTCGCATATATCGGTTCGACGGAATATCTACATAATGGTGCAAGCATTGAAAAGTTTTTTACTGCCAATGACAAGCGCACATAAAGAGTGAGAAAGAGAAGACGAGGGATTATTTTACCAGTCTCTACTCTGTTACCTTAACAAGAGTCCAATCGGAGGAGTAATCGTTTTTATTTCATGGGACGGACACTTTTCAGCGACATACCTAATGTCTATATTTGGCTTCTCTCTAAGTTTGGCTTCACTCTTTTTCTGCTGCTATTCTAAAGCGTTGAGCAGCAATAATCTCTATACCATTTGTACCGACGATTTTCAATAGCGTGGAAATATTAAAATATATTTAGAAAGATTTGAATTTTCCCCAAAGGGAGGTTGAATTTTCCCTATCTCCGAACCATTTAACCCTTCGAATATTTATCTAAAGAGAGTTTTAAGAAAAAAGACAAGGGAAAACACCAAAGTCGGTCAAGGCCAACCTACACCACTATGCCTAATACAATCGTTCATTTATTTTCGCGATGACTAATAATACACCCAAAAATTCTACATCTCTTCATGAAAGCCCTCATACTGAAGGGTGCCCAAGACGTTCAGATGCTTCCGTCATAAGGAACTATAAATTAAACTTTACCGTTATAGAAATGGTTGCTTTTTATGAAAGGCCGGAACGGAACAAAAAATAGACTTATCCGATCCAAATTCGCTGCCGTTAATTTTTATACTAGATAACTACTACACATCAACTATTAGATTTTTTCCATGTGTGATCATGTCCAAAAGGTAGATCCACTTGATTGTAAATTTGATACGAACCAATTTTCATTACAAAATACATCTCAAAAATGTTGCATTTTTGATATTTTCCGTATAATGGCTAATTTTTCATTAAAGCTCTTATACTGGGCTGGAATCCAAAAATAATAGATCTAGATGATGCAAATTCGGTATAGTTCGTTTTTATATCAAATTATTATTATGAACGAATTTTCATCAAGATATTTTAAAAATTATGACTTTGCACCCAATAACGATACAGTTTCCGTTGGAGTGCTTATGTGACAGGGGGTTCAAAAAATTGTCCCTTT